TCCCAGGCCCCTGACCTGCACTTCTCTTCTCCGTATAAAAGGGTGGGCTTGAGGCGAGATGTAAGTGGCCTCTTCAGGGCACATAACCCGCCGCCTCAGCTCGCCGGCCCTGAGAGAGGTGCCCACCGTGACCCCATCCTTGTCTCTGCTTACGGGCTCTGGTAGACGGGCAGCGTGAGCGCCCACTTTCCCGGTTTCAGTTTCATCTCTTCTCTTCCCCCCAGGTGGACGGACTTACACTTTATTTTGCTTTTGTTGGGAGCAGGGCAGGCAGGGCACTTGGCAGCTCACAGTGAAGGTGCTGGGGTCAGACGCCGGGCCTGTGGCTTGCCAGGCCTGCAACGAAGGGCCGGACACATAGGCCTTCCTTGGCTCGGCCCCCTTATCCGTGAACAGAGATTGGGTTAACCTGCCCACAGACTTGTAGGGCGACTGCGTCCGCTACACACAGAGCCCTCGGTGCGGCGGGCACACAGCCCGGCTCCCGGAGGCCTGGCGTTCCTGTGCCCGCCGCCTCTGCTCTGTGAGCTCCTTGCCGGGGGATTGCGGCCCCGGGTCCCTGTACCCTTGGCTCCTCGCACAGGCCCTGGCAGAGTAGGTGCTGGCGGGGCAGCCATGACCCTGCTGCCCGGGTTGGAGGTGCTCCGCACAGTGCCCAGCAGCTCCTCATTGACGTCCCACAGCAAACATCTCTGGTTCCAGTCCTGCGGTCACCGCGTGACTCCCCCGCCGCCTCTTCTCTCTCAGCTTCAGCCTCTTCATTGTAAAATCGGTGTCTACTTCCTCCAGGGATGGAGCATGTGACCCAGGCCTGGCCAATCAAAGCACTGATGTCATGGGCTGTGGCTCAAAGGTGGTCATGGGACACCCAAGCTGGTCCAGTAAGAATGACTCTTGGGAATGTGACCCAAGCTGTGGGAAAAGACTGGCTCCTCTCCCCCCCCACCCCCCCACCCCACCAAAAAAAGAGAATGTGGCTGTAGTGACTAGTCACCTTGTGGCCACATGGGAGGACGTGGGGCATGGAGGGGAGGAGCCGGGAGGCAGGGACAACAGGGAGCCTGGGAGTGGAGGCAGCACCAGGGATGGAGAGAAAGTCTGTTGACGTCATTGGGAGCCTGAAAGGGACGTCACCCTGGACTTCTCGGCCGTGCGTACCAATACGCACCCCTTCGCTTACTTCAGTTTGACATGGTTTCATGAACCCCGAACGTGGTCTGTGCCCGGCAGCCTCGGTCTGCGACAGTCCCTGAATGCCGACTTTCCTCCCCACTGCTGTGCCGCCTCCTCCTTCCCAGCAGTGTTCCCGGCCTCCGAGGACAAGTCAGTGTTGACCTATAAGCCCCTTGTGGCCACCCCTTTCCCTTCTGCCAGCGATGGGCTTCAGGGTGAACACACGCCCCAGTTTGGGTCAATGAGATGAACCTAGTCTCCTGAGAGCTCCTGGAAGAGGATCTCGACCTGGCAAAAGGGAGTGCAGATGAGAAGGCCTTGTGCCCCGCCTTCCCTTCCCACACATGCCCCGGGCGGGGAGATGCTCGGAGCTGCTGCCGCCACCCTGCAGCCATGAGGGGAGACTCGTCAGAGACGGCAGAGGAAAAAGAGGGAAGTACTTGGGGGTTTGGGTGGCATAACAGCTGGAGAAATAACTGTGAAATCGCCTATCTAGACTTGTTGTAAAGTCAGATAATAGATGCTTATGTCTGTTAAACCACTATGTGTTGGGTGTTAGTATTTGCAGCCACGAGCATTCCCAATTGATATTAAAAATCTAAGTGATGTAGCATCTAGTTCCTCAATCAAAGGAAGCACACAAGGCTAAGAACACCAGTTCCTTTATTATTATTTACTGTTATGTTTCCCCTGAAGAACAGCACAATTCAAATAACAATGACACACACGTCCCACCCATATACACAGTACCCCTATCCTGCCTGCCGGCTGTCTGGCCTTTGCTTGGTTCCTGGCGGAGCTGCCTGGAGACAGCCCCCTCTGTAAAAATCCCGACGAGGACATAGACACAAGGAAGGGGGACGTTAGCTAGAGGGTAAACCGAGGGGCTTCCAGACTCCTGGGGGACTGCGAGCTCGGCAACGTGCGGCAGGTGCTGGGCGGAGGGCAGAAGGCACCACTGTTTTCCTGTGACTGTTGGGTAATTCCCATTTGGGGAGGAAGCCCTGCTGTCACCGCTATAGGCCAGGGCTGCAGAAACACAGTGCGGGGAGCTCATGGGCCCCACCAGCCAACCAGGGGGCAGGCACAGACATCGGGGCCCAGAATAGGAATCTGGGTGATGCGAGGTCCCCAGAGAAAAGCAGCGCTGGCATCAGTTGCACGGTGAGGCACTGCGTGAAACGCTATGTCCCCTTCTGCATGCTGTGCAACTGTTGGATGTACAACATTTTTATCAAGACAGAAAAAGTAAAGAAAGAAAAACTTCCAGCATGTTGGCCTAACGCCACCCAAACAGAAAAAGTAAAGAAAAACTTCCAGCATGTTGGCCTAACGCCACCCAGCATGACTTGCCAATTGCGCCCCCTGATGCGAACACCTAGTACTACACTATCTAGGGACTGGTCAAATGACCCTGACCCCCATCATTTTAGTTGCACTAAATCTATGAGTTCAGCTGAAGTGATGACTAATGTACCCTGGAATCAGAGAAGCCCTGGGGGTGGGGTGGGGGTGACAAGGATGGGCCAAGACTGGGGTCTCAAGTGCAGGTGACCTCCTGGCCGTCTTGAGGAAGCTGGTTGCTGAAGCCGCTCTCTCCCGATGGCGAGTACGGGGGCACCTGGGGAGCCTCGATGATCAGCAGGCCCTCCGGGGAGAGCGAGGCGAACACCGTGGTGGGGTCCACCTCTGCAGGAAGCCTAGGAGGAGCACAGGGTTTTAGTCATTTATTTTAATCCAGGCCACACGTTCCTCTGTTCCTCCGAAAGAAGATAGTTTTGATAAGAGCTTGGGCTTGGGGTGTATATGCTGGGTCTGAATCCTGGCTCTGCCCCTTTCTAGCTGTGGTCCTGGGAAGGCCACTCAGCTACTCGGAGCCTGTTCTCTCTTCTGCAAAATGGAGGTCATTGTATCAAATGTGGACTGGATTTGGGGCTTTAGGATTCTTTGCAAAGAATGTGAACATGCTTTGCTAGTGGTAAATGCTGCTCAACAGTAACTAACTTACAAGGGAGCTGCGGCCCCCGTGTCTGATTCAGGTTGAAGTCTCCACTTAGCACCCACGATTCACCAGCTATTGGCGAAATGGCCGCCATCCCCTCCCCGAGTAGAGCACAGTAAGGTGTGTCTGGCAGCGGGTGGCGCACGGCCACCTGCCACGTGCACAGCCGGTGGGATTAATGGTGGATGGCCGCTGGCTCGAATGCAGATGCCAGCGTCCTCTGTATGTTTAGGATGAGCCGTGATTGGGGCACATCCTAGGTGTTTGCTGTAGGTGGTAAGTGTTTTGTTTCCTGAACACGTGTGTAGGCATGACCTGGTCCGAGCTGTACATGGGTCCCGAATGGTGAATGGGAGTTGACATGCCCGTGGCAAGAGCCTTTAACGGAGACTTGGGGGAATTAAATGACAGGCTCTGTGCGTGAGCGAGCGAGCACCAACGCCGGGCTTTCTGAACCCAAATCCGGTTCCGGTTCTGAAGCTGCTTTTATGATTTGGGGCTCGTTTGGAGTGAATGAGCGACCCAGGCACAGGTTCTTCAACAAACCATTGGAATGCGGAGAACCTGTGGTGACTCTGTGGGGTGCCTTTATGAATAAGAATAATAAAAACAGGGGCCTCTGAGCGTCCTGTGTGCCAGGTACTTCACCCGAGTCCTCTCACTTCGTTGTTAACCCTGATCCCACCAGGCGAGTTGTTACTGTCCCTGACTCACAGGTGGGGAGGTCAAGGTCAGAGAGGAGGTGACTTGCCCAAGGTCACACAGCTGGCAAGCGGCAGGTGGGGATGGAGTTGGAATCCTGGTCTCTGAATTCACAGTAGCTCTCTGGCACCCGGCTTTTAAAAAAGGGACCATGGGTGGGGGGAGGGGGAGAGGACAGAAGGTTTGATCACCATAGAGGTCTCCTGGCCCCGGCTGGCTCTGCCTGTTGTAAAAGCAAAGTCATGGGTCTTGATGAAAGAACCCGGAAGTGAGGTCAGCCCGTTCTGGGTCATGGGCAGGGCCCTTCCTGGAGGGGCAACCCATAGCCCCATGCGCCGAGTCTACCCAGGAGACGCCGGCCAAACGGAAGCCGCGGGCATTAGCGGGGCCTGTGGGAAGGAGGGAAGAGAAGGAGGGAACGGGCAGCTGCCAAGCCAAGCTGCGGGAGTGTGGCCCTCCCCTGGCTGCTGGGATGGGTCCGCTCTGCTTAACCGCTCGCATGCCAACCCAGTGGGCACCGGACACAGTGGGAGAGGTGGCTGTGGTCCGGAGAATGGGCGTGGCAAGTTCTCTCTTTTTTTAATGTATTGATTTTAGAGAGAGGGGAAGGGAGAGGGAGAGAAACATGTTGGTCCACTTATTCATGCATCATTGGTGCTTCTTGTATGTGCCCTGACCGGAGATCAAACCCTTGGCATAGCGGGACGATGCTCTAACCCACTGAGCTACCCCGCCAGGGCCCTGAATTCAAATTCTGACTCTTCCTGATTGTGTGGCCTTGAGCCTGTGCTCTCGCCCCCCGAGCCTATTTCCTTATAGGGAAAGGGGTAACGAAAGTGCCAGCCTCTGCAGGTGACGTGAGAACCCGTGCCTGGTGCGCCGGAGTGCCTGCTGAGGGTTAGCTTCTGCGCAGCCGTGGGCCGCGCCGCGGGCACCCTGACGGCTGTGAATGTTTCAGCACAAAGCCCGGCATCACTGACACGCAGAATGTCAGAGCCCCAGAGAGTCCTCACGATGGTCCAGGACAAAGCTCTCATTTTCCACCTGGGGAAGCTGAGGCCCAGCGGTGGGAAGAGACTCAGTCTAGGTCTCTGACCAGGTGCCCTGGTTTGGAGGTTTTAATAAGGCCAGTTCCCGGGGAGGAGCCCCGAGTCCATCCCCCGTGTAAGTGCTTTGCACACATCCTCTCCTGCCCCATCGGGGTGCCTTCGCGGGAAACGGGGGGCGGGGGGGGGACAGCAGCTCAGGTTAGCGGAGCCTGGACTCCCACCCCCCTGGGTGAGATGAGAAGATTTAACCACAGGCAGCTGGGCACTGACCAATCAGAGTGGGAGGATTCAGGCCATGGCGAGGGGGGAGGGTCCTGGGACCCTTTAGTTTCTGGGATGTGGGGAGCTCTGGAGGGTCCCGGGCAGGTCAGGATGGCTGGCTGGTTGGGAGGGCACGTGCGGGGCTCAGGGCAGTGGCCAGTGCAGTGTTGTCACAGGAGCCCGCTCAGCTGCCGGGCCCCAGCTGACCAGCAGCCCTGCCTCTGGCCGCCTCAGGCTGTTCTACCTGGTCAATAACTCCCCTGAGGCCCCAGAGATGGCAAAATCCATGAAAATGGCCATGTTTGTAAGATGATGAACCCGCTGCCTTCTCTCTGCCTCCGTCCCTGTCACGGCTCAGCTCGGTCTGTGATCGTGGGGGCACCTCGTTTGAACCTCTTGACAGAAACATCAGCACCCTCCCCCTCCTTTGCCCTCCGCGACGCTGGGTCTGGTGCTGGACCGCGGGGAGGGGGCCTGGCATGCAGGCCAGTGAGCACCGAGACACAGTTGGCCATGGCCTTATGGGGAAGTGCCCGCGGCTTCCAGGAACCCGCACCGCAGGGGGGTCAGGCCAGGACACGTGGGGGACGGGACTGCAGGATCCAAAAGAAGCCTAGGAATTCGGCTAATGCTGTCTTTCCGGGGCGGGCGGAGCGACGATCGATAGCAGCGAGGGTGACAGGAATGCCGGCGCCCGCTGGCCGGGGCTGCTGCGTGCGGTGCCTGGCCACCATCTCCTTTGATGTTCAGCTGGGGAGGCCGCAGGGCTAGAGTCACCCTCCATCCTTCTTACCAGGAGGAAAGGGCATTAGGATGAGGGACCAGCTCGGGGCTGTTCTAATTTCTAACTGTAAGGACCTTTCCCCAAGCTCTCCGTCCTCCAGGGAGGGTGAGGTCTCTCCTGCCCCTGCACGTTGAGCTGCAACCAAAGGCTCAGGGCAGCCAGGATGGTGAGACCCTGGGGCCAGCAGGACACTGGGTGGCGTGATGCCGTCAGAAACAGGCGTGTCCATGCAGCGTTAGGACCTGCGGGCTCTTCTTCCCACAGGTGTTTCGGGGGGTGGGAGGGAAACCTCCGTGTGGCTTGGACTCATTGGCTCTGCAGGTGGCCTTCTGCTCACATGATTCCTTTGCTGTGACATTTTCCCCTTTAGGGTGAAGGTTCAGCTCCCTACCCTGGGGCGGGGGGCGAGGTGCCTCACGGGAGAGATGCCCAAGAGGGTACAGACCCCAGAACTGGGGTCCGAGGCCCCTCCCCGCCCTCCACGCCCACCGGAAACGCACACACGGGGTTACTTACTGGATTTTCTTGGTGAAGTTCTTGGACACAATGCCCCCCTCATGCTGCTTCTCTTCGTGATTGCCTGGAAGGGGAGGAATCCTCGAGTCAGCATCTGAGTCCGTTGGGCTTCCACTGACGGGAGCCCAGTCTCAGGTTCAAACCCTGCCCTGGCCCCGCCTCATTGTGTGGCTTGGGGCTTGATCTAGACTCAAGGCTCCAGCAGTCTGAGCCTCGGGCCCCTCACCTGAGCCCACCTCCCAGGCTGCTGAGGAGATGAAGCAAGACAATGGACAGGACAGGAGGCCCTGACTGCAGTTGGCAGACAATTACGTGTTGTCTTAGGAAATCAGAGCCTGGGCCTGTGTGGCACTGTATCTTCCAAGCCCTCATTGGACAGCACCGTGCCCTCAGCAGCCAGGGGAACCCTGGGGCCAACACCCCGGATGCCGCCCGCTGGCTTCACAGCTCGTGGACCCTCCCCACCCCCACCCCCACCCCAGGATGGGCTGCTCAGGGTTACCCGTGCGAAACTGAGGCCCCGCCCCGGGCTCTGAGCCAGCTCTCTGAATCTGAGCCAGGTGCTGGGGCCGATCCTCTCTGCCCGTCACACCTTCCAATTAGCTCCCAGAGTCATATTCCTGTGCCCCGTCCTGAGAGAGCCGCCTGGCAGCAATGCTTCAATCTGCTACCAACCCCCCAACTCCCAGAGGGGCCTGCCTAAGGAAGGGGGAGGCTCCATGGTGGGAACTGCCCCTTCCCTCCTGCAGGGTGCAGGGGAGGTGGGTGTTTTCTTTTCTTTTCCTTCCTTAGGAAGGAAAGAGATGAAATGACAAGGAGGCCTGGGCCCAAACTGCCTATACCTTGCAGTTTATATAACAAATTCTGAGCCTCGTCGCCCTTCCCATTCTTACTTTTTTAATGGAGAGAGTGTCTCTCATTTCTCTGTAAACAAGGAGTTAGTGTCAGGGAAGCCATTCCTCCCCTCATTTGTGGGGCCACAGCCCAGGGCCAGGAGCCCTCCTGTACACAGGGACACCCTCTGAGGGGCTCGGGAATCTAGACGGAATAACCTGGTGAGATGTATTATTTTTCTGTGGCCCCAGATTTTGAAAAACCGGCCATTTATAGGTAACTACATTACTAATTGCTTTTTTATTCATTACTCCTTTCTTAATTACTTTTTCTAGATTATAAGATAATGCACGTGTAAGTTAGAAAGTGTAGAAAATAATGAAAAAAATCAAATAAAACCACCCATAACCCCATCGCCCTGAGAAAACCACTGGCATTTTGGTAGATGTTCCAGGCTTTTCTTTCTGTGCTTAGAAATGCATAAATGTTATGTGGAATAGCTGTGCGTCATATAGCTTATCACATGGGATCACACTCTAGTTATTTTCTGTGTTACGGCCGATGTTCTTGGACACGATTTGTAACGGCTGCCCGGCGTTCCCCGTGGGGATATGTAAGGTCATGCAGCCAGTCCCCAGCTTTTGGGCACTGGCCCGTTCCTGACATGGAAAGAATGTCGCTGCACTGATATTCTTGGGCTTCTTTAGGGCGAGTTCCGGGTTCTAGAATTTCTAAGCTTGGTCTGTGCTGCTCCATCACCCAGCTGGGCAGAAAGGGGCACATTTAGAGGAAATGGTGTTGAACGGGAGTGCTGCTGTTCTGTGAATGTGCTGATGCTCTGAGCGTTTGTTCTGACCTGCCAAGTCCCTGACCACCAGCTGCCCGGCGCTCACACCGGCACGCGGCCAAAGGTCCCCTCCCCAGAGCCTGGGCCTCTGGAGGCCTGTCTCCCTTGGGGACAGGCCAGTGCCTCTGACTCAGCTCTTCTGCACACTGCGTCCTGGGAATAATAAAGGAGGAGGCGGGGGATAAGAATAAAATAGCAAACTCATACAGCTCTTGCGTGGTGTCAGCCACTGTTCTGAGCACCTCGCCTATAACACCTCCTTTCATTTTCTCGCCAGCCTTATTCTTGCAGTTTTGTGGCTCGGGAACAGAAGCTCAGAGAGGTTAAGTGATGTGCCCAAGGTCACACAGCTCAGAAGAGCAGGAGCAGAGGTTCAAAGACTTGAGTCCCTGCTCTGACATCTACTTTTCTTGGGGCCTCAGTGTATTGTTCTCTAAAATGGGGGTGACAGCAACATCCTAATTATTGGGTTACTTTGAGGAGTGAATGACAGTGAGTCACAGAATCGCTTTGTAAGTTGTGAAATTACTGTGTGAAGGTAAACGCTTGTGGTTTATTTCGCTGTTTGGGGCAGGATTGCCCCTCAGAAGCTAACCCTCCCTGTCCATGCTCTGAGAACAAGGTTTTGGGGTCAGGGAGGAGAGGGTCTCTGATTTCCATAAGGGGGGCCTGGGGTAGTGTTCATCTGGTTGAAAGAAGGTGTTGGAAAGAGTGGAGTCTTAAAGCTTAATTTGCATAGCATTTGAATATCTAGTAGGGTCAGTTGAAGGATGATGAGTAATGTTTAATTCTTATTTTGCTTTCCTTTTTCTACATGGGAATAATTTCATTTTTGTAAACATAAAAAAGTAATTATTATGGTTAAAGAAGGAAAAAGAGAACTCATCTGAAGTGAGGGAAGCTGAGAGGCCTCTGGGAGCCTCAGAGAAATGTGGGCATCAGCCCTCGGGGAAAGCCACTGGCCCAGCGAAAGAAAGCAGGCTGTTACAGGGAGGCGGGGCCCTGGGTTTAAGGAGAAGGGCCGGGCATATGGTCTTGGGGACTTTCCAGTCCCTCCCCTGGCCAGAGCCTGGCCCAGTGGCCCAGGAAGGGAATGGTTCTTGGCTGGTGGCTGCCGGGCGGGGGTGAGAGTGTGTGAGGCATGATGGGAATCTTCTAGTCCAGTATCATCCAAACACTTCCCTGGAACTGGACACTCACAGGTGTCAGATAAGACAAGGCCGTCTCTCCGAGATTCATAAACCACATTAGCAGACTCAGCGCTCTGCGAAGCCCACAGCGAGACGACGGTTACCATGTTGTTTCAACCAGCACCTTCTAGAATTCTGGACCCCCTCCTCCACCCAGTGCTCAGATGCCTAGTGGCAGCTAAAAGAACACTGTTGGGCAAATACTGACCCAGTCCCCCTTCACAGGCCCATGGTAACCCTGAGGGTCGGAGGTGGCAGGGAGGATTTGCCCAGGGCCACACAATCAGAACTGGAAACTGGCTAGGTTGGCCTGACTTTGAATTTCAGACATTGCCATGGAGAAGTGGGTGATCTCAGGTGAATTCCTCTCTCTGGGCCTCAGTTTCCTCATCTGTAAAATGGGTATAACAAAGCTACCCATGTTTACTTAGAAGTCTCCACGAGGAAGCAGCGAGCCAACCTATGTAGGTATTTAGCACAGAGTGCGTGGGGAATAGGTTTGTCACTATGCGATGCGGGAGGGGAGACTGGTTTCATGTCTGACTTCCCTTGAAAGTTGCGTTTTAGATGGAGCCTCTGCTATTGATCGGATTTTTCAAACTGCTTTCGGGAGAGACTCAGTGGATCTGGATTCTGTCGAGCTAAGGTGGCTAAGTGCATGCCTGTGAGAATTTTACAGCCTAAAAAGGCTTTGTCTGCCTTTGTCTTATTTGTGTTCCCCAACGACCCCATTTTACAGATGTCGAAACTGAGGCTCTGAGACGCATTCAAAGCCTCTGGATCAGTAAGTGACTTAGCTGGGATGTCGGCTTGGAGCTGCCCAATCCCGTTTGTTAAGAAGCGCCTAGAAAAGAGGATGGAGAGGCTGGGCAGAGGTCTCCTGGAAGGGACACAGGACCCTCCAACGTGGGGTGGAAAACTCAGGAACCTTAATTAAAACAAAGACAGAGAGTGGCCATAATAATGCCCATCTCCAGGGCACCAGGCAGGCGCCCTCACTAGCTCCATTTTACAGACACTCTGCAGGTCTTACATCTTGTCTGCATATATTTAGTCTCCCCTGCAGCCTTATGGGACAGATATTATTATGATCCCCATTCTGCAGATGAGGAAGCGGAGACGCAGAGTGGTGAAAAAACTTCCTTGCCCACATCCATCTAGAGCGTGACCAGCGCAGCCAGGCTTGGAACCCAGGTCTCAGAGGCCATCTACCATTTATGATTTCTCAGGGCCTCCCTGGGTGGCTGGCATTTTATCAACATCCACTTCAGTAACAGTTTCAGGCGCTATATATCCACACGTTTCACGCATCAGCTCATTAAATACAATCATCCTTCTGCCCTCGTAGCCCTTTGAACCCCAATTTCCAGATTAGGAATCAAAGCCGAGAGCAGCTAAGTCCGTACAACCTGCTGGTCAGTGGGGGAGCCTGTTTCAGAACTCGAGCCCAGCGTCCCGGCCAAGGCCGCCCAGAGCCCTGGCCGACCCCCTCCGTCAGCACGTGTCCCCAGCCTGACGCCTGGCCCGCCGCGCCTGCCAGACCTCCGATGTTTATCATTCTGACCTGCCAGGCTTTGAAACTCCCCCGGACGCCTTCCTGCCAGGGCTCGTCCCGCCCGCTCGCCCGTGTTTGCGATGCTTTTATTGATTTTTCTGGCGGCAGAGCCTGCTGGGAACCTGCTCCCTTTAGTGGAGCTTTAATTGCTGGGAAGCGACAGAAAGCTGCTCCCCTCTCCTGGGGTGTGGGCAGGCCCAGACTCCTCCTGCTGCTGACTCACAGCGTGACCTTGGACGCATCCCGCCTGGGTCCCGGCTCAGCCGAGGGGGCCTGGAGGCCTCTGCTCTCAGGGCTCGGGGGAGGCGTGTTGTGGAGAAGGAACAGAGGAGGTCTAGCCCAGCCCTTCGTCCCTAGTAGGTGCCTAGATGGCCGATTCGCCTCCCGTTCCCAGGCAGCCTGGATCAGAACCCCTGGTTCTGATGAGCCCCCCTGGGCCTCCGCTTCCTCCTCTGTAAGAAGGGGAGCCCACGGGACCCCTGCCCTCTGGTCGCATTAACTGAGCGGCTGCAGGTGAAGCGCTCAGGTGGGTCTGGCAGCTAGGAAGCTGGTCAGGGTTACCCATTCGTCTCCTTAAAACGGCCATTCAGCCTCAGTTCTTATCTGGGACCAGGGAGTGTTGCCCTTGAAGCCAGGCTGGTTGCTAACCCTCCACATGAAACATGCCTTCGAGGCTGTGATGTGATCTGGGGCCCTTCGATTCCTTCTGTGTCTGTGTCACTTCTTCCTCTCCAATTCTCCGCCACCATATCAGGCCAGCTCCCACCTCCCTGCCGGCTCTGATGGATAGGCCGCCGCCCCCAAGGCCCCGCCGCTGGTCAGGCTGCCCTTTCCTGGCGGCCAGGAGGGGAGTTCTCCCTAAGGGTAACTTTTGGGGCCACATTCCTGAGCCCCGAGGTCGCCTGCGTCAGCCCTCACAGCTGCCCCTCCGGAGAAGTCCTCTGGGCTGTTCCAACCTGCAGCCCCCACCCCACCCCCTTCTCTCTCCCCCTCCTGATCCCCACTCACCAGACACCTCCACGTATCTGTCCTTGGTCTTTACCATCAGCTCCTCTGGCTTGAAGCTGTGCACGTTGACACACACTTTCCAGGGCTCTCCAGGGAAGGGTGGGGGGCTCCTGCCATCCGCGGGTACCCCAAACCTGCCTGTGGCAGTCGGCACCCGCGGCACCGTGCCCGGCCTCAGGGATCCTGGCCAGGCCGAGGAGAGTCGAGGCAGCGCCCAGTCGGGCCAGGGGGCAGTCAAGTCGTCGGGGAAGGGGTCCATGCCAAAGCCATCGTCCAGCAGGCGCGAGGAGAGGGGCGAGTCTCGGAAGGGGTCCCGGCGCAGGCGGCTTGGGTAGTGGCAGGAGAAGGGCATCTGACCATCAGCCATGGCGGATGCTGAGCTGGAGCACAAATGGAGGCTCAGAGAGAGGGAGCCACCTGCCCAAGGTCACACAGCAAGGTGATGTGGTGGGCTAGCCTTCCAGCTAATTCTTCAGCTTCAAAAGCTGCTGGACCATCCACTGCGGAGGGTGGAGGCAGGCACCAGGCTGGGGTCCCAACCCCCAAAGACTCTCCGGCCGCCACAGGCCACCAGGGCTGGTCCTGCAGAATCCCAGAGAGCCCTGTCCACACCGCCTCACCCGCGATCCGCCAGCCGCTGTCCTCCCAGGCTGTCCAGGCTCGAAGCCAGAGCCGCCAAGGTCTAAAGTGGAGCCAGGAGCTTAATAAACCCTGGGACGGAGGCCTAGAAACTTCTCCTGGCTTCTGGGCTGGGAGCCTTTTATTTATAGTGGCTGCGGCTGGAGGCGGGCGCTGCCCAGGTCCCTCCCGTCACGCGAGTATTCCGAGGTGATGAACTAGCCCTGCAGATCCTCAGGCCCAGCTGGCTCCGAGGGGGCTGGGAGGGCCAGT